CTCTCTCTCTCTCTCTCTCTCTCTCTCTCTCTCTCTCTCTCTCTCTCTCTCTCTCTCTCTCTCTCTCTCTCTCTCTCTCTCTCTCTCTTCTTCTTCTTCTTCTTCTTCTTCTTTCTTTTTCTTTCTTTCCTTTCTTTCATTCCTCCCTCCCTCCCTTCCTCAGATTGGTAACTGTCCTGTCTTGATTTTCCACTGGATGTGAGTCTCAGGATGAAAACAAAATCCCGCTGGTGGCTCCTAAGGATGCTGTTTGTTGGTGGTTCCCTTGAGGTTTCTGTACTTTGTAGGAAGCTATGTCTTTAGAACTCCCTGTTTGTAGCAACTGTCCTCACTTTGCCTCAGCTGGATTAGTTTTCGGCAGTTTGTACCCTGAGAGTCAGGAATTTTCCTTTGAGAACTGGTATTTGCCTACATTCTCTGAAGATCAGAAGTATTAGATAGCATATAAAATAAAGGAAAATATAACCTGAAATACAGGCGCCTTCCCTCTGTCAGGTCCTCTGGGCTGGACTGACGCTATGTATGAGGACAGAGGTTTGCCTTCTGCCAGACTCCTGCTTGCCAGTGTATTCTGGTCCCAGGTGCCTGTGGAATTTCTCCTAGGGGTTCCCCCTTTCCATCCCTGGCTTACCTTCCTGTTCCTGGCCCTTGGCTACACCACACAGGGGACAGTCTTCTCAGTGGGATTCCCGTAGAGAAGAGTCGCACAAGGAGTCTGTTACCCAATGGCCCAGTGGGAGGACGCAGAGTCAGAGACGGGTCCTCTGTGCCTCTTGCCCTGACCCATGCAGGTCACTGAGCCCTAATTCGGAGATGACTCTGAAGAGACTAAGAAATAATCAGACATGAAAGGCAGTGAGCTCTCTTAGCAGAGCTGCTGACTCTTGGGGTTTTTACGTGGGGGGAGTGTTGTGATGTGAGCTCAGAAGCACAGTAGCTTCTGAATCCGGGGGCTCTTCGTTTTTTTTCCTTTTCTTTTTCACTGGAGTACCATCAGTTACAATGTGTCAGCTCGCGGTGTCCCAGGCCATGCGCATACAGACGCATACTCGTTTTCGTATTTCCGGTGGGCTCTCCTTGCGGGTGAGGGACCGTCTGCAGGTGAGAACAGGCGAGGACAGCTGTGCCCCAGCCGCGCCGCCCTGCACACCCTCGTCCTCCGCCCCGCCCGCCGCCCACGCCCCGGCCCTGCCTCGGAGCTGCCTGCCACCGTGAGGCAGCGGAACCCCCTTCCCGCTGCTTTCCGAGCTCTGACCAAGGCTGCTGCCATCTTAGCTCCTCGTTTTCAAAGGCGAGAGTGGCTACTCCAGTCTTAGGCAAAGCAGCCAGACTGTATCTTTTTTATTTTAATTAGTTTGCTTTTTAGAAAAGTTCTTTGCTTTTAAAAAGAAGTTAGAAGCAAAAACCTGTGTGTGTGTTTCTCAGGAGCTCCTTAAAATAACAAAAGGAGTAAGAGCGACTTTTCTCTGGAATGGCTTGAAGCCACAGTGGAAACACTAAAAATTCAGAAGTTAAAACATGAGCTCTGGATTTCTTGGCCAATCTTTCAGCAACACCGACACTGGGGAGCGTCTTGCGGCCTGGCCGGCCCCTATTTGGGTCCCAGTTTGGCCCCTGGCGGTGCGCAGCTCCTGCATCGTGACACGCAGCCCCTCCGGAGGACCACCCTCCTTGCTCTCCTTTACTCTGGCACTTGTAGGCGGCCGGCCCCTGCCCCACCAGGATCGGGGGCCTCTTCCTGCCGTCTCCTTGCCGCAACTCCCAGTGCTTACGGTCACCGCGTCTGGGATGCCCCCTCCCAGCACTCTGGGCAGCACTGTGTCCCCCTGTGGCCTGTCAGGTTCCACAGGGGCTGCTGTGCAGGGAGACATTGAAGGATCTGTAGGAGCCCAAAGCTCGTGCACCACTGCGTTTCACGCTCATGGAAGATAACTTTGAAAAACTCTCAGTTCCCTTAAAACGTTTTTCTGGTGACTGTAAAAATTTTTCATCCTATCAAAGGATTTAATTTCTCTTGTATTTTAAACATTGGTATTTGAAAACAAAACCATCCCTCTTTTAAAAAATGTTTCAGATAAAATCTTCGTGCTGTGGTGACTGGATAAGCCCCAGCAGGCATTAAGAATGCAGGAGCTCTCTCTCCCTGAGCAGTCGGGAATTTCGTGCCACTTCTCTGGCCTGGAACTCGTGTCCCCATGCCAGTGCCTCACAGCCTTCCCTCGTGGTGCGCCACGGTGCGCTTCCTGAAACTCGCCGGTCACACTGCCCTACTTCACTCCCATGAAAATATGGATCTAAATGTAATTTAAGTTTTATTTCTCGTAATTGGAAGGAAGTCTCTAAATATACATACATTTTTGTTCTGGGGTGCAGTCTCATCTTCAGCCCTCAGTTGATCAAAACAATACAAACGTTAAAATTTTAAACATTAAATAAATAACTGTTAAAATGAAATGTGAAATAATTTGGGGGGAAATTTGTCATTCTGAGGTGTTCCCGTGGATGAGTGTCACGTGTATGTGGAGCGAGGCGCCGTCCGTCACGTCCTCTTGGCTCCGTGGACATGTGCTGGGGAACTTTGTTCATGGACATAAATCGATGGGAGTGAAAGGAGTTTCGTCAGTGACATCACTGAATTCTTTGTGCTCCATCTGACTTGCATGTCCACAAAGCCAAGGGATTGACTATCCAGAATCATTCCTCAGACCTTCAATTCAGTCTTGTTTTCCTTCCATTTGTGGGCACTGAGGAGCTGGCGTCCACTTGATCTGCAGAAGAGTTTCTCCCCCGGTTGTAGGAGCTACTCCCCCAGCCACGGCGATAAGTGTGGAGCCTCAGCCACTGTGCAGGCCCGACTGGGAGAGTTGAATTAACACAGGGTGACACTGGATGGGGGCCTGCTTCAGGACAGGTCCCGCGGCCCTGCTGCTCCAGGGGAAGCAGGGCATGTGGGTGTTCACAGAAACAGCGGGGGCGGGAGTTACCGTTACACAGCCCGACAGCTTGTCCTTAGGGGTTCTGTGGTGTCTTGGTGAACTGCTGGCTTTCACTCTTCCAGTTGGAACCAGTGGGACTTCAGGACAGTGGCCTGACTGCCCCCGGAGGCCTGTCCCCCTGGGGGGTGGGCGGGAAGGCGCCCGCTCTCACGGCGGTCTTGCTCTTCCGCTGTGGCGTCGTTGTTTGTTTATTTTACAGCTTTCCTGTAAGACCCTTCAGCCACAACCGTTGAAGGTTCTGTATTTCAACCCGCTCTGCTCTTCTTGAATAGTTCTTAATCTTTTCCATAGAGCCCACGTAAGATGCTCAGATATTTCCTGAGACGTGGTTATCTTTATCTGCTAGATAAAGGTGTTGAGGTGACCTCAGGGCTGGTTCCCAGAACTGGGAGACACAAAACCTCTGCACAGACCTGCTGCTGGGATGCCCTGGGAAGGCCTAAGTGTCATGTACGGAATTTGCTGGAAACTTGTCAGGTCGGCTGCTGTGGTGGATGGTGGCCCAGTAGTTCAGTCATGAGTGAATTTAAGGAAGACACTCGTATACAGGTCACACCCACCTGTGCATGCGCAGCATACATGCCAAGCCGTTACAGCCCAGGGCTCCCTGCTAGACCTGCGTTTCCCTTTTGTTGTGGTCCACATGTGGGTGGGTGCATGTTTGCACAAGGTCAGAGGCGCCACCTGCCTCTGCACTGCGTGCTCTGTGCCCCGTGCTCCGCGCGCTGGTCCAGCCTCACTCTGCGTGGTGCACATGTGGCCTGCGGGTGGGCCCTCTGGTGGCCGGTGGTCACTGCAGAGAGGGTCGGACTTCTGAGGAAGAGAGAAGTGCCTCCCAGGGAAGCAAAGAACAGAATGCACTGAGGACACAGTTCCCGGCTCCCCAGTCACAGCAGCTGGAGGAAGCGAGTGAAAATCTACCTTTGGGGCCTGGACTGCTGGGAGCAGCCCCGCAGGTGGTGGGCCGGGTTCTACACTGTTGTTCAGGGTTCCCGGGGCCCAGGACATCATCTCCTCGAGGGACACCTGTCCTCTGTGCCCTGCACAGCAGCCTGCTCGGTGCGCGTGCTGAGTAGTTCGCCAGTCTCCAGGCGAAAATGCAGAGTGTGCTGACTTCAGTGTTGGAGAAGCTCCTCCGGGTTCTCTGTTCCCCACTGTGTCTTTGAGGCTGAGGGCCCCTGTTCTGAGACGCTGGGTGCAGGCCGTGCCGCGCAGCCGGCAGGGTGAGAACGACCTTTCCGAGAGGGTTAGTTAGGTCTTCATTGTGGGTTTGCTCCGCCTCCCCGAGGGGCAGGATGCCCTGGGTGGCCTCCGGAAGCCAGGTGTCACCCCAGCACCCCCTGGAGAGCAGTGAGGCCACCGCCGACGCCGTCCTGAATTTACTGCTGTGGTGGGTGGTGTCACCGTGCTTCACCCAAGCAGCGTGGACCTTGGTGGGTCCTTTGCTGGGTTAGAGGTAAATAGTCCTGTTACTTGTTGATCATCTGAAAGGGATGGGTGCGGGCATGTTTTATGGGATGTGCTGATTCGTGTGTACTTGGCTGGCAGGCCGATCCCCCCGCGGGTGGGCGGTGTGCTCTGCCGGCCCAGGCCAGAGCTGCGTTGTGTAGACCACACTTCCGACCGGTCATGGAGCATGTGGGTCCGGTGGTGGCTGGAGGAGGGGACCTGACACTGAGGCCCGTCCTCGGCCACCTGTGAGGGGCAGCCATGCAGGCTAGTAACATCTCTGTTGCATCTTTTGTTTTCACAGTGAGAGAAAAACGGAAGAGTCTCTTCATCAACCACGTAAGTGGGGCTGTCCCCGTGCTCCTCGCGGAGACTGCCCAGCGCTGAGAGCACTCGCGCCCGGGTCGGGGGTGGGGATGGAACCCAAGTCTCGTCCGCACGCGGAGGAGCTCCCAGGCCCAGGAACCCGGGTTGCTGTGTTTCTGACCGGTCCGCCCACCCGCTCGCCCAGGGGCCTTTCTCCCCTAGGTCAGTTCCGCTGGGATAAGCACAGCTGCCTCCTGCAGGCTGGTTGCCTCCCCTCCCCCCGCCACCTCCCCTCGTGTGTGTAGGGCCGGTGGTCTGCATGTGCTCAGAGGACGGGTAAACTTGACCACACTTTAATTCTAAAAGGATCTGTAAAATCCAGCTCTAGCCATGTGGCCGCTCTGAGCAGTGTGTCCCTGCCCTGCTGGCCAGGCAGGAAGATGCTTCCTTTTTCCCTGAGCAGTGGGTGCAGCGGCCAGGGGCCCCCACGGCACCCCGACTTGTGCCCCAGGACTGTGGCGCCCAGCCACCAGGCGAGGTACAGCCACGGCCTCCTTGCCCCTAAACTTATGTCCATCTCCAGGAGAGAACACTGTCTCCGTGAGGTGCGGGTTACCACACACGTACGCCGCAGTCTCACCTGGAGAAGCAGAGCCCTTCAGGAGAGGGACAGATGCTGATCACTGCAGGTGGAGGGAAATCCCCCCCAGCCAGCACCACAGTGGCCAGTGAAAGGGACAGAGGCCTTAAATGTTCCCCAGGGAAGGAGCAGGGGAGAGGGACCCTGCCTGCCTGGGAAGGAGGGGTCTCTCACTGGCTCAGAGTAGCCAAGAGAGGCTGGAAAGTTAAGTAAAAGGAGGCTGCTTCTGAAGGAATTATTGCAGGTTTTAAAGCTTGAAACCCTTTGAGGGTAAACCCCTTGGGGAGCTTTGACAGGAAGTTAAATCAGGGAAAGTTATGAAGATTAATACTCTAATCAGGATCCATGTTTTAGACGTAATTAGATCAACAGTCACAGGAAAAGTTAATACATTACGAAAGAGACACTTGGGTAGTTTAGAAAGACTTATGTAAAGGGCTTTATTTGAAGTGTGTAGTTTATTGAAAATTTGCTGACGTTTTGGCTATGCTCTTTCTTTAAACTAGCTATTTTAATGAATCTTTTAATTAAAATGTGGAAGACTTATTATAAACTGTGGGTGGCATTGTAAGGGGCTGGGAGCCTGGAATCACTCTCCTGGAACTCAGGGAAAACTCGAGCCTTTTACTTTAGCCTAATTTTTCTGTGACACCCTCCTGCCCCTTGATGACAGCACACCTGAAGTAAATCAATCATTCTAAGTTAAAGAAAAAAGATATTTAAACAGAATGAGTCAGGGGTTAAATGGCCAGCCTCCCTGACCCCAATGACACAGTCACAGTATTTGTTCTAATATTAAGGCAGGTGATGCTTCTGAGAACTTTGTGAGGAAATGGAGTAACTGGGAGCATTACTGATCAGTTATGCAGAAGTCACACTGTGAGCTGGACTTGGAGCCAGACTAAGCTAGTCATGCGCTGGGTCCATCACCTGACAGGTGGGGGACCATGAAAGAGTCTGGAGGCCCTGGCTCTCTGATCTCGTAGAGCGGCTCCTGGCCGTAGCTCCTGGCTTGCCCGCTCAGGCAGGGCTGCGCGCTGGCTGTGGCTCCTGGCCTGCCCGCTCAGGCGGGGCTGCATGCTGGCTGTGGCTCCTGGCTGTGGCTCCTGGCCTGCCTGCTCAGGCGGTGCTGCGCGCTGGCTGTAGCTCCCTGTGGACATGTTGCTGTTGTTACTGCTCTTGGAGTTGGGTCAATTCTGTTTACTTTTCAAGTTCAGTAGCAAAACTGATGGAAGTCTTTCTGGCAGTTTGAGTGTGAATACAGTTTTTTCATAAGTATTAAGCCATAGACATCGAGGGATGAAGTGAGTGTGGTCCAGGGCCTGAAGTGGGAAAAATTCTAAACATTGCTTTTGCCTCTTTGGGAGACATGCTCTGAGCAGGGCACAGGTGGAGAGCAGTGTGAGCTTAGGAGGAAGGGCCCAAGATCAGGCCGCCTCCTGAGCATCCCGACTGGTCATTTGGTCCTGACCCGCATGCTCCTCCCGTAGAAGTGGCGTGTGTGGGGGGCCACAGAGCTTCAGCGGTGCGGGGCCCCTGGCTGGGGTGTAAGGGGCTGTGTGCCCCCAGTGTGGCTGTCACCACCAGGGGAGCTTCTGTTTATAGCACTGTCTTCCATTTCTTGGGCTGTTGCATATTTCCGTAATTTTCCATAATTTTATTACAGAGGAAGCCTTATTAAATAAGAAGTAAATGTGAAAGTATTGAGCAGGGCGTCTGGTCTCTGAGGGGCGTAAGGAGTTCTTCATGTTTGGGAACCACGGATGCTGAGGGCTTCGCTGGGGGTGGGAGGTCAGGCAGGCAGGATCATTAAGTAATTATTTCTTTGGTTGCTGAAAGTGACACTTAGACTGTCAGCATGGCACCAGGCGAGTGAAAACTTACTTGGATGGTTTGATTTTTTTTCTAACGCTTTGAGCAAGAGTCACCCAGATTGATATGTACTAATCATATTCCCCACGGAATTGCCGGAAATCTATTTACTATTCAATTAGATGTCATCAGCGTGTAGTTTAAATTCTGTTTTCCTTAACAGTGCATTTCAGAAGTAGTTGTTAGTCCTGAAGTTCTGCAGAGCACCCAGAATGCCCGCAGCTGGGAAGGACCAGGTCTCAGACCGCCTGGCGCCTGCAGGAAGGCCACCTGTCGGCTGCATTTTCAGAGGCAGCAGATAACTGTCACCTTGAGATGCCCTTAAGGAGGGAATACGTCTTTATTTATACCTTCACTCCCTGAAATTCAAGGTTGGGACGTTCTCATTTGACATTGGCTGCATTTTCCGTGGTCCTCAGATCAGCTGTACCCCAAGAACAGAGAAAGACAGGTGCAGTGGGCTCTCTTTCGTGTTGGTCCTGATGTCACCAGTGTAGTGAGCAGTGTGTTTCCTGTTTCTCACAGTGATTTTTCTGGGCTCCGCAGCTCGCCCTGTGATGCAGGTGTGGGACGCGGGTGGTGGAGGTGACTTTGAGTGTAGAGGAGTGGGAGATTTGCTGTGGGAAGAAAGGGGGTTTGTACCGGTCTCGCTGGTAGTGCTGGCATTTCTTGCTAAGACCCTTTTCTTCTCCAGGCCAGTCTCTAGGTGAGGGGTGATGTCTGGGAAGACTTTGAGCCCTGTTTAATATCCCTTGTCCCGTCTGCAGCACCCTCCAGGACAGACGGCGAGGAAGTGCAGCTCCTGCTCCACCATCTTTCTGGACGACAGCACAGTCAGCCGGCCGGACCTCAAGTGCACAGTCAAGTGGTGCGCACCTCCCACTCCCCGCCGGGTGGTGGGGTCTGGGGGGTCAGACCGGGCAGGGGAGGCCATTGGCTACTTAGGAAATCTTTTTAAAAGGGGATTTGGGGAAGTAAAATGTGGGGTGTTCAAAATATTTGTGCATATTACCATTTATGTAAGTAGACCAGAATTTTTAACGACTTTAAATACGGGTTAAAGCACAGCTTTGATTTCTGTGCGTTTTTGCTGCCTTCCCCTTCACAGCTGTGCAGTGCTGTGCACTTCACGGTGCTCGGGGCCCTCGTGGACTTGGGGCCGCAGTAGACAGTGGCCAGCACTGGAAAGTGCACCCGCCTGAGTGGGAGAGGAGCCAGACCCTCCACCTTGGGGGCTCACTGAAAAATGGAGCATAAGGGAGGAAGGGGGTGTGTGGCGTCTTTGGATAAAATCCTTTCCCTTTTGGGCTTTAGGTCCCTACTTTTAAGATGGGCGGTGGGAGGGAAGGAGCACCGGTTTTTCCTGGAATGTTCCTGCCAGCACTGTGGCAAGAACCCTTGACTGAGGCCACAGGGGCCCTGATGTGCTGGCTCTGGGGTTTGGGCTCGGCTGTGAAGGACTTGGGGTGCTGTGCCTTTATCTGTTACGACTTTCATTATGATGTTGATCGCAGCTGTGAAACAGTGAAAACAACTACAATGTTCAGTAGTAGGGGACTGGCTAATAAAGTTGAACAATATGATGGAATATAGTCAACCATGTTTTTCAGTAACATTTTAATGGTAAGAAAAATGTTAATGCAAAGAAAAGTGGGACCCACACCTGCCCGCTTGCATGTGTGATTTACAGATGAAACAGGCATTTGTGTGTCTCAGGCCGACAGTAATCATATCTGGGCAGAGGAATTGTTTTTCTGCATACTTCTTTATTTTCCAAAATTTCTGCAGTCTGAATACAACACATTTCATACTCAGAGAACATTACTTGAAGAAAATTCAGGGGATGGGAATGTTTTCATTAAATTCAGATCTTTTAAAATGTGAAATTTAGTTTTAAGATATTAAAATGTAAAGTATCACAAATAAGAGTTCAGGACCGTTTCAGCAGATGAACGAGCAAGTTAGGCAGATTGCCCAGAGGTTATTGATTTAAGAGGAAAAATGGCAAACCACTGCGGGTAACACCCACATTTGTCTGACAGTTGTAAAGAAGCCACTGACTTTCTAGAATGTCAGGTGCAGCGTTGGAGACTTCAAAGGTGTTTGATGTCACCACTGAGCTTTCACGTAGCGCCTGTATTTAAAGGGAGGAAAGCTTAAAATTTCAGATAAAAGAGAAATTTGTTCCCGAATATCACTTGAAGTTTTGGTGTTTCTGGAAAAGATTTAATAATTGCTTGGAATGAGTGCCTGATTGAGGAGAGCATTTTCTTCATCAGCATTTCTGAATTAAATGGGGCTGTTCAGATGGATCTTTTTACTTTAAAATTTTAAATATTTATGATCAAATTGATGCAAAATAATGTAACACCTTGACTATGCTTATGAAACACTGAACTCCTGCATTTTATCTTACAGTGTAGCTCTCGCAATATATTACCACATCAAAAACAGGTACGTGGATTTTGATTGATTTTGTGCTGAGAACATCACACGTTGTCTACTGTTACAGTTTTGCTATTACGTTCTCCTTCCTTCAGCCTTTCAGTTTTATATTCTTAGTGCATTTTCATAGAATTTCTAAAGTTAGCATGATTTACTGACACTTCCCAGGTGAGTGCAGGGCTGCTTCTGAGCGAGGAAGCCAGATAGAGCCCCAGAACAGAAGAGTTTCTTGACCATGTTCAGTCTCCTCGTTACTTTATTTTCTGTGTAATTTGCGTAAATACTCTTTTATAAGATACTTTGACACTTTTCGGTGTGTAATTTTAACGTGAGAAGAATGTTTAATTTATAGTTTCAATTCAGTAGAAAGAGTTTTGTTGTCAGTTTAGTCATAAACTATTTCAATGTAGTAGGAGTCCTCTCCTGATAGCCTGGAGACGGTTCGGCTAATTTAAACAGCCAGTTAAAATAGGGAATCCTAGAACGCTCATTTAGTTTTCCGTCAATGTAAGACGTTAAGGTACGCTCAGTGCGTGGCGTCCAGGTCCTGCTCTGCGCGGTGGGCACTGGTGACAGCAGTGCTGGAGCACGGCCTCTTATCAGCCGCCCCGGGGACTCTTCCTTTCCACGGTGGGTCGGTTTCTGTGTGTGTGATTAGCACTTAGGAAGCCTGTGACATTTGCGGAACAGTCCGAGTGTGGACTCGTTCAGGTTCGGAGCGCTCCTGACACGCAGCTGACTTATCGTTAGTGGTTTCCGGTTACTGGCTCTTTCCGAAGCACCCTTCGTTTTGTGAAAACAGAGACGCTCACGTGGTCCTGTCTTGTTGAGTAACGTGGCATTTACGCGTGTTCCATCTACACAGTCACAAGGACAACTGGTGGGAACCAGCTCCGGGAGCCAGCAAGGCCGCCTCCTGGCTGGCGGGGGTCTCGGGCGGGGCCGCACCCCTGAGTCTGTTTTACGAGAGTGGTGCCAGGCTGTGAAGTTGACGGTAAACAACAGAGCTTATAATGGACGTGTGGGAAAGTACAGATACTGGAAGCAGACACCTGGAAAGGCATTCTCTGTAATGACCTTTCCCTACAGTGTAACTGGGATTCATGGTCCATATGGTGCCTGAGTATTTCAGATTTAAGAACTTACAGAATGTAGGATGTTGGAACTTGGAACCTTGACCAGAGTGACTTATCGGTGAAAGTGCAAATTTGTCTTGCTGCTTATTTCTGTGATAGTATTTCACAGTGTTTAAGCCTGTTAGTCCTAACCAGCAATGTAAGGCCGTCAGTGCCACTTAGGTATGTTCTCAAACGAGTTTCACATTAGCCTTGCTGATTCCTCAGCCCTGAGATTATGCACGGACGTCAACGTTAATTTATAGCCACAGCCAATGCTGCTAAGGCCCAGCTTTATTAAGTGCTCACTCTGGCCACCCTGGGCCGCTCTCTGCGCGCCTTATCTCATGTAGTTTTTACAGCAGCTCCACCAGGTGGTACCGATACTATCTCCACTTTACAGATAAAGAAACCGAGGCACAGGGGGATTTAAATAATTTGCCTGAGATACACAGCTAGTAAATTAGGGAATTAGGAGTTGAGCCCAGCAATATACTACTGAGACGTGTGATCGTGTGCCCTGCCGGGCTCGTGGGAATAAATGGAGCCGAAAGTGGAGAAGTCCGGCTGAAAAGCCGTCATATGAAATCAGCCTGGTTAATTTACAGACTGTCGCCTGAAGGTGTCTTGAGACTAGGTGGCACAGCTTTTAATGGAATTGAGAGCAAAACCCACTTCTCAGAAGAGCCATTTTAACTTAAATTCTGAACTCTCTTTATATTTTTGACCCTACATTTTTATTGTTAAAATTACTCCTGGTGAAAGTTTCCCGAGAGTTTGCTGAATGGCATTGCGTGTGTGTGTGTGCACGTGTGCATGTGCGTGCGTATGAGTGGGGGTGTGTGTATCAGAGACAGATCTGTAGCCTTTTGATACTTGCAGCCTAATTGACATTGGAAACACAGACCGTGGAAATTGCATGCTGTTACCAAAGCAGTGATTTCCAAATTTGGTTTTTAAAGAAAAGCTTCTGGCAAAACTCAAATGATATGAAACAGATAGAAGCAGAGCTGTCCCTGGGGGTGACGCCCCCAGAGCCCCACCTCCCCGTGGCGCTGCGGTGAAAGCCGCCGCTCTGCTCTGCACGGGTCCGGGCGTGTACCCGCGTGGGAGCAACCAGGCACATTTCTCCACGTGTCACGCCTTGTTCTCAGGACACAATCATGAAACTGCTCATTAGTGAAGCGATTGAGTTGCATGTTGTGAAGATTTCAGACGCATCTCTAGGATGCACTGAGTGGTCATTCTTACCCTCAGACTTTTGTCCTTCCGACCACCACATAGTGATGCTTTCACAGATCCGCCAGCCTTTGCTCAAAAACAAGACGTTAAAGAAGTTTAGGTTTGGTTCCTTTGAAAAGTCAAGAAATGAGAATCTAAATTTTCCCTTACGTTAATGAAACTAAGTGTGGTTCATAACCTTTATTTCATGGGCTATTCAAAAATGATTAAATATTGTCCCCTAGAAAAACAAATTATAATTCATGAGTAATCAATACCATCTCTCAACGTTCAGCACTGTCTGTTTCTTGAAATACCAGTTGAATGAAAACATGTTTCTGTTTCATTTTGACTGGCATTCGTTCTTGCAGAAAGTAGACTCCATTTCCTGTTGTTTCCCCACCAGGGACCCAGACGGACGGATGCTCTTGGATATTTTCGATGAAAACCTTCACCCTCTTTCGGTAATCTGCCCCTCGGGTGTCAGGGTGCCAGCCAGTCATGTCTCTGTTGCTCTTGTTGGGTCACCTGAGAATATCTCCTTCCCCAGAAATCCGAAGTGCCACCAGATTACGACAAACACAACCCCGAGCAGAAGCAGATTTACCGGTTTGTTCGGACACTGTTCAGCGCTGCCCAGCTGACCGCGGAGTGCGCCATAGTTACCCTGGTGAGTGCCCGCGGGGCGGGCGGCCGTGAACGCTGGCGCCACTGCTGGCTGTCCCTGTCCTGGGTCTCCTCAAATCAGACCACACTCAGAGGCGGGGAAGCTGCGGAGACACAGGCAGGAAAGTGGAGTGGGCACGAAGGGGCTCTGAAGGACCGGGCCCCTCGCCGACATCCCGGGTTCTGGGCTGGCTCCCTGCAGGGGTTTGGTGACTGGGATCAGGAGCGATGAGCCCTGACACCGGGAGGAGTGATGTGACTGCTGCCTTCTTGTCTGTGGTTTTCCTGTAAACATATGTCTGTTAGAAATTCAGAGACAGTGGGACATGACCCGCGCTGAGACCGGAGATAAAAAGTCTCCACCCTAACTTGCATTCTCAAGGCCTTAGGGATGGACCATTGGTCAGATCTTATTTGGGAAATAGGGCTGTTTCTCTGGCGCCTGCTGCGGGCCTTTGCTGGGCCAGCCTGGGGCCTGTGGGCAGAAGGCCACGTCCGGGCAGGTTTGGCCTGGAGCTGACAGAGATGCCTTTCTCTCTGCCCGTCTCCTGGACTTTACCTTGGCATCATGGATCACTGCCCAGGGGACAGAGAGCCTCTCTGCCTGCAAGGAGATGGACTGCAGCCTGCCTGTGGCAACAGCTTCCAGGGTTTGCAGACACCCGGAGCCCAGTTAACCCAAAGAAATATTTCAGAGCTTAATTAACTCTGTTTTGAAAGAGGAACAATAACTTTATATCACTTACTATATTTCTTTAGCCTTTGAGGATATACTAAAACCTTCTCTCCTATCGATACTGACATAGGAGGAAATTTAAAAAGCAGGTGAGGGCACTGAATTGCACCTGCTGATTTATGATAAGCGAAGCCTGAAGGGCACTTTGTAACGTTCCCGGCACGGCTGCGGGAGTGAGAGTCCAGTCCTTGATCAGGGCCGTCGGCGGCCACAAGGTGGGCTCTGTTCGGAGAGCATGGCATTGGGCTGGGGAGGAAGTCAGTGATGGATGGAGAGGGTCCGGCCAGAAGGAAAGGAGTGAGAAGAAATGGGGGTGGCAGAGTGCGGACTGACCTGATGAGGACACATGTTAGGAATTGCTCGTTTTCTCATCCCTTTGCTGAGATGCAGCCCACACACCGTAAGGCCCACCCTCATGAAGTGAGCGCTGCAGGGGGTTTAGTATATGGTGCAGCAGCCTCCTCCGCCTAGCCCCCCAGAAGAGACCCCTTCCCCACTGGTGGCCGCCCCCCATTCCTTGCCCCCAGCCCAGGCCCACCTGTTGAGGACATTTGTGTGGGTGGATTATGTGATGCTTAGTCTCTGGTGACTGGCTTCCACAGTCACGTTTCCAGAGTTCACCCAGGTTGGAGCCTGTGTGGGATTTCCTTCTTTTTTATTGCCAGCTGATGCTCTGTTGAGTGGGTACACTGCCTTTTATTCGTCCACCGCTCAGTTAATGGGCACTGGGTTACTTCCACCTCCCGGCTGCTGTGATAACGCCGCTGTGAGCATTTGCGCTAGCCTTCGGGTGGGCGTGTCCTCGTGTCTCGGTGCACACCAGGGGTGGGGCTGCGGGGGCACGCAGTGACTCTGTTCACCCTTCTTCTGTGTCGCTGCTGGCAACGTCAGGAGCCCACAGTTTCTCCACATCACATCCCACCCGACAATGAAATTAAGAAAGTCAGTCCACTTGTACACTGAAAACTACATAAAGAAATTGTTTACTCAGATTTTCTTCAGTTTCTTTTACCAATCCCTTTATGTAGTTTTCAGTGTACAAATCTTACAAGTCTTCTTTTGTTAAATGTATTCCTAGGTGTTTACTTCTGTTTCACGCTTTTGTAAGTGGATTGACTTTCTGAATTCCGTTGTCGGGTTGTTCACTGCTGCTGTGTGGGAATCTGTCCTTCCATGTTGTTTACCTCATGTTAGTTCTAATAGTTTTTACAAGGTTCCTTATAATTTTCTGTCTGCAAGTGGAGATGGCTCTGCTTCCTCCTTCCCGAGCTGGACGGCTCTTCCTCCTGCAGCCGGTCACCCAGGTCAGCACCGTGCTGACCAGAAGTGAGAGTGTGTGCCCGGGTCTGGTTCGTGATCTTGCTGGAAACCTTTCAGTCTTTCTCCGTTAAAGAAGATGTTAGCTGTTGAGTTTTTCATAGATGCCCTTTGCCAGACGAGGAAGTTGTTTTCTGTTCCTAATATGTGGAGTGTTCTTGATCTTTAGAGAGTATTGGATTGTGTCAGAGCTGTCTCTGTACCATGAGGTTGGTTGTGTGGTTTTGTTCTTTATTGTGTTGATGTGTTAAGCCCACCTTGCACTCTCGGTCCTGCTGCGTAGTTCTTTTCTGTGTTGCTGGGCTTGGATTGCTAGCGTTCTGTTGAGTTTTGCACCTGTATTTGTAAGGGATATTCGTCTCTCGTTTCCTTGTGATACCTTTGGTGCTGGAATCAGCATAACTGGCCTCATATAATGAACGGAAAAGTGTTCCTTCCACTTCTGTTTCTCCGCAGAGTCTGGGAAGGATTGGTATTATTTAAATAATAGATAGAATTCACCGTTGAAGCTGCCTTGGCCAGGGTTTTTTTTAAATAGTATCTTTTAAACAATTCAAGTCTAGGTGATTTACAGTATATTAGTGGTTCAGTATTTTTATAGGTTATGCTTCATTTAGAAGTGTTGTTAAATGTGACTGATTCCCTGTGCTGCCCTCCACGCAGGGCTTTTCTTTGTTGAAGGGTTTGCGTTACCAGTTCAGCCTCTGCCTGCTCTCGGCCTATTCGGACTGTCTGTTTCTTGGGTCAGCTGGTGTCTTTGTGGGGATTTGTCTGTTTTACCTGAGTTGTCCCGTTTGCTGTAATTCTCTTTATTTCTGAAAGGCTACTGTGATGTCTCTTTTCATTTCTGATTTTTCTTACTGGAGTCCTTTTCCTTTTCATCTTGGCCGGTTTAGCTAACGGCTTGTTGATTTTGCTGGTCTTCCCAAAGAACCGGCTTGCAGTTCTGTTGGTTTTTCTGTTTTCTTGGCTCCACCCGTTTGTCTCCTCTCTCATTTTGGTTCATTCCTTCCTCCTGCTGGCTGTCCCTTTAGTTTCCTGTCTTCCTTTTCTTCTGGTTACTGAAGACGGAAGGTCAGGTTACTGATTTGAGGCCTGCCTTTCCTAACACAGGAGTTGACAGCGACCCGTTTCTGTGAGCTGAGCTCCAGCTGCGCTGCACAAGTTTGGGGATGTGTGTTCATTTTCATGATGTATTTTTAAAAATCAACTTTTAATTTTAGATTTGTAGGAAGATGGTGACGACAGTACAGAGAGTTCCTGCACACTTTACACCTAGTGTATTGTTAAGCTCTGTAACATTGTGATAGTATGTGGATATAATAAACGTGTAATATTATTAACATCTTATATTAATATGATGTATTTATTAATAACTGATACGTTATTATGAACTAAGGTTCGTGCTCTATTCAGATTTTCTTAGTTTTGCCCATTTAAGCATTTTTTTTCTGTACATGCTTTTTTGGGTTATTTCCTAGTATTTAATCTTTTACAGACATGATAAACTATGACTAGTTCGAAAAGTATAGATGATTGATTTAACTAAATTCTTTCTTTCTGATGCAGTCGATGCCTTTGCAAATGCATTTGATGTAAAACTGGAAATAATCAATTCATGATTCAGAGAGGTGTGAAAGGAAACACATCAATAAGGAGGCTTTTACTAAGGGAAGCTTTGAAAGGCATTCTTAACTTGTGACCCAGCTTAGTTGATGAGCTCTGTGGATATTTCTGATGTCTGCCGTCTACATTTGGCGAGTTTTAAATCCTATATTATGTGATTTCATTTTACAACTTCAGCTGGAATTCTTTCATTTAAAAATACCACTTCACACGCATTAGGATGACTATAATTTAAAAAAAAAACAGAAAATAACAGGTACTGGCAAATATTGGCAAGGATGTGGAAAAACTAACCCTTGTGCATTGCTGGTGGGAACATAAATGGTTCAGCTGCTGTGAAGGAGAGTGTGGTGGTTCTACAGAATACTGAGCAGATTATCACACAGTCCGACAGTCCCACTACTGGGGACACACCAGAAAGAATCAGATGTAGAGGCTTGAACGGACGTCTGTGCACCAGTGTTCACAGCAGCATTATTCACAGTAGCCAGAAGTGGAAACAAGTCACATGTCCATTGATGGATGCTGGGCAAACAGAACGTGGTCTGTACCATTATTCAGCCTTAAAAAGGAAGGAATCGTTGACACTGGCTGCAGCATGGGTGACCCTTGGGGACACTGTTCTCAGTGAAAGGAGCCAGTCACAAAGGGACAGGTACTGTGTGAGTCCACCTCCATCAGGTACCTGGGTCGTCACATTCAGGGAGGCAGGAGGGGGAACGGGTTGGGGGTTGCATAGGCACAGAGTTCCAGTTTGGGGAGATGAAAAAAGTTCTGGAAAAAGAGTTGGATGGTGAGGGTTTCACAACACTGTGACTGTTCTTAACAGCGCAGAACCGCACACCCGAAACGGTTAAGTGCTGCGTTTTGCGTTGTGTGTACTTGACCATCATAATAAAAACCAGGTTTATCAACACTGTGTAAATCTACCATCACATCCAAATAAAAAGTTTAATGAAAAAGAGTAGAGATTAAAAAAAAAAAAGTTTCTTCTTTCACGTTGTTTGCTCTCCTTGTCAGATCTCTGGTTGCTCGCTGGGTTTGTGCCAGTGTCGCGGTGGGTGGAGCGAGGAGCTGGCCTGTAGCTGCTGGCATCGGCCCAGCCGCGCCTACACGTCCAGCGTTGGCGGCGCCTTCACGCCCGCCTGTCCTCAACTCCTTGAGCCCTTGACTTTTTAAGCGAGTGATCGGGCCGTGGGGACCTGTGTAGGAGGTGGAGCGCATGCGCTGCCTGGTGTGGGAGGCGCTGGCTCGTCACCCAGGGGCTTCCTGTCTTGCAGGTTTACCTCGAGAGGCTTCTGACCTATGCAGAAATCGACATCTGTCCGGCCAACTGGAAGCGGATTGTCCTGGGGGCCATCCTGCTGGCCTCAAAGGTGTGGGATGACCAGGCAGTGTGGAACGTGGACTACTGCCAGATCCTCAAGGACATCACGGTGGAGGACATGTGAGTGCTCAGACCCTGCTCCTCCCCCTCCGCTTCCATGTCCCTGGGCCCTGTCCCCCCAGGTCCTGTCCCCCCGGCCAGCCCTGTCCCCACTGCAGACCCACCTCAGGCCCAGTGCCTGCTCCGGGCAGTAGGTGACTAAAATGTTACCTGTTCTTACTCCATTTCGGGGAGGAGACTTTCACTGCTTTTGTTCTGTTTTACAAGTTCCGTTGCTTAAAAAGAGCCTTGTGTCGCCTTGCCCCTGTGTCGTCCGTTGTTGGGGTCTCAGAGCTGGGGACGTGGGAGATCGGGTCCAAGCCTTCCATAGGTTCTGGAGAACGTTCAGGGTGAACCCTGTACAGTTCCTTACACTTCGTCGGCATTTCTGACTCAGTTTTTGCTATTTTTCTCATACTGTTCGTTTGGCTTCCTCAGGGAAGCTTTTGGCTGGAGGAGGTTCCACCGTGTGCCCATCCACATCTGTGTCCCCAGACCCGGATCCTCGGGGCACAGGGCCCGTGGTGGCCGCCGGCTCCTCCCGGCATGGCCCCTGTCCGCTGGCTGCCGCTGCTCTGGGCGCCCATTTCTGGGCCGCCCTTGGGCACTGGTCTGTGTTCTTGGGTGTCTTGCACAGATTCCCTTCCTGCTGCGGACGCTTAAAGCCCTCCCTGCATCTGTAATTCCTTCCTGATAGCAGGAAAAGTCAAATTCTTGATTGCATCTCAAGGTGAAAATGGTCTCTGAGCTGGTCATCCAGGCTGTGAGCAGGTGCATGGGGCGAGAAATCCTGCCTTGTTTCTGCCCCTTGGCATCTGTCACCTGTGCTGAGGTGTGTGTGCGGGGACGTGGCCCAGCTGCCCCTCCCGCTGACCGGGGATGTGGGTGGCGGTGGTGCTCAGGGTCAGCAAGAGAGCCCAGGACGTCCCCCCCGTGGGGTCAGAGAGGAAAGGCCTGCGGACGCCGGACCTGGGCCTCAGACCGCTTCTCCTTTCTATCCCTGCTCTCTGCGGAGGGCGCCGCGGGGCACGGGCAGACGACAGATAGCACTGAAACTACCTTCAGGGCCCAGCTCGGGGTGTTCTGCCCATTCCCGCTGTCATGCAGCCGTCATCACCACCAAGCCTTGGAACAGAAGGAGAGAGAGAAACGCAGCTGGCGGGGAGACGCCTTCTGTGCTGCTGTCCTTAACACATCGAGACGTCTGCCCAGCTGGGTCTTCACGTGGACTCGGGATCACTGGAGAAGCCCTTATTTTATTGAAAGCCTCGAAGAAGTGGTTGTAAGCTGTTTGTCAGGAGTCGAGCCTTGTCCAGTTTCTGCATGTCTCAGCTGGTCCTCCCGGCACCCCTAAGACATGCGCTCACTGTCACCACTGGGCAGCCCTGTGTCCCGAGGCCTCGTGCAAGACCCTGCTCCGGCAGAGCAGGCGAGTGTGTGGGGGGCCTCCCAGCCCCGGAGCGGCCAGACTGAGTGGTTTCCGCAGGAACTCGGAGGGGTGGGTCGGCTTGTGCCACACTCGGTGCGGTTCAGGGCCAGCTGCGGAGCCAGGCTTGTGGGGACGCGGGCTGTATTTTGTACCGTCTGCACCGAGCCGCAGATTCACTTCTGGAATTTTAAACAAAGTTAGTGCTTGAGTCAGTCTTTTTCAGTGATACCCTGTGAGTCCCCAGGAGTCAGTGGAATTGGCTGTCACTCAGCTAAATGGCTGAGGCTGGCTCTGGGGCCCCTGCTGGGGGGAGGGGGCGTGGGGGGCCGTCGTTTGTCCCAGCCAGCCTCCGCTCCTCCACGCTGGCCTGGGCCTCCCCTTCTCGCTCCCCAGGGCGAGACAGTTACGAGTTGCAGATGCAGAGACGGGAGATGTGCTTTTTGGTGCTGCTTCCGGTGCCCTGCTGACCCATGTCCCCTTCTTCCTGGCCTCGCCTGTGTGTGGCTGTCCTGAGGTGGCCTTCCCCGTGTCTCCGAGCCCAGGCTCCCCTCCAGCTGAAGGGTCTCTGACACCGAGGACTTTGGTGGGGCCCTGCATGCACCTCTGGATGGGGCAGCTCTGGCTGGGAAGGCTGGGCTCGCTGATGCTGGCGCTCAAAACAAACATCTTGAGGCACGTGTCACGAGGGCAGTCGGGGCACCGTGTTTCACTGACGCCCGTCAGGCGGGCCCAGGTTGGGGCTGCCCTGGCGAGAAGACTGTCTCTCGCTTGGTGCCTTGTTTGGTTTTTCCATGACAGACATGCTCAGTATGGAATTTACCACTGAAACTACCTTCAGGGCACAGCTCGGGGTGTTCGGCACATTCCTGCTGTCATGTAGCCGTCACCAGCTCTTCCTCCGGACTCTTACTCTTATAAAACTGACCCTGTCCCCATGCAACCCCACCTCCCAGCCCCCGGCGGCCTCCACTCTGCCTCCCGTCTCTCAGAACCTCACTGCTCCAGTGAGTCCACTCGGGCCTCATCTCAGTTGAGCCACGAGGCATTTGTCTTTGCGTGGCTGGCTTCTTCAGGGTAGCCTGAGTCAGGTTTCCTTCCTTTTTGATGCTGGGAAGACTCCATTCTGTGTGTAGACCGCTTGTCGTCGGACGTGGGCTGCCTGCTCTCCCGGCTGCTGTGAACAGCACTGCCGTGAGCAGGAGGAGCGCGGGCGTGCAGATACCTCCCCGGGGCCCTGCCCTCCGCTCTCCTGGGTCTGTGCCCAGAGGTGGGGTTGCTGCGTGGTGGCTGGTCTTTAAAGTGAGCATGTTTTTCCAGAAAAGCCTACAGGCTATTAGATGATGAAAACAACTCCCTTTAGGTGCATTTGGGGCCCCATTTGCAGGTTGCTAAGTGGCAGTTAGCCATTCAGTTGGGTTCCATTGGGTTTCTTTACAATGTTGATCTAATGTGACAAGTATTTCTGAAATATTTTTTGTTTATTGACCTGAACTTATTTATTACAAAGTTTCACATTAGAACTGTTTTTAAGTATCCTCTTGAGGGCAGCAGATCCGTCAAGCCCATTCGCGTCACTGTTCGTTTTCTGATGATTTGTATCGCGTAGCAAGCTGTCATATGGACTGCTGCAGTTTGGAAATTCAAATTTGGGGAATTATTTTTATTTCCTAAGTCTGGCTTCAGTTTGAAAATGCAGCAGCTCTAAAATCTTTATTTCCATCCAAACTTACACAGAAACATTCAAGAAAACACTCCACTATTCAGAAAGGCTGCTTTTCCCTGAGGAGCACTGGGGAGCCGCCGTCTTGTAGACAGATTCCTCCTGATTGTAATCCTAGATGCGCCCTCAGCAGCAGGCAGTGGTGTCGGTGCCGGTGCCGTTCGGGGCGGGAATAGCGGACTGGCTATCTCCCGTTTGTACTGAGAAGAGAGGCTTTCTTCCCCACACCGGAGTGCGGGCCGCGGTGGCGCCTCTTGGCCCCTGGGCGGCAGTGTGTCCCAGGCCAG